CCAATTTTCTCAACCACCATCAAGAAGAAGGAGTTAGAGTTATAAGGTAATATTTGATATTACTTGTAATTTCTAATATTACTTGTAACAAATCAAAATTTGTATTATTACGTGTTTTTAAAGATGACGATTTGTAAATTCGTCATATGTATATACGGGTTAAGTATTTAAGTGTTAAATACTTATTTTGAAAAATTTTAAATTCCGCTGCGTATAGCCAAAAATTAAACAAAAAAAATGGTGTCCCTTTAATTAAACAAATTATTTCATAAACAATCAAGCCTTTAATTTGCGGGAAGATGGTGTGCCTACAAGACAAAAAAATATTTTCTACAAAGAGATTTTTAATAATATAAAATAATATTCTTTATTCTATTTATCTAATTTTCTTTATCAAATATAATAATAAAATTTAATAAATAACCTTAAAATTGTGCGCGCTCCTGCATCCCACGGATTTGCACTATTATAGATTGATCAACGGTGGAATTTAGAAAGAGAACCATAAATAAATCAAAGAAATCAGACAGTCGCACCCCATTGTCAGGAACAGATTGTGGGGTTGGAGAGTTTGAGTTGGTATTGCTCAGAGTGAAGGCGGAATCTGTATTATTCCCGTCGTCGGTGGCAATTAAACCCTTCACTCCGATGACTTCCACTCAGTTCTCAATGGTATACTCTTCAACTTTAGCATTTCTTCACCTTTATTAAGGAATACTAGTACTTGTCTATGTCGCTTTCTTTTAATCTTAATAAGGTATAATAATCTGACGTTGAGTTCTGCATACTGGAATGGTTGCCGGTCACATGGATTTTCCACAATAAAGGAACAGTGTTTGGGGGCGTAATGATTTTGGGTGAAGCGAAAATTTCAGATGAACTCACTTTGTGCCCTTACATTGAAAATTTTGATTGCTCGCTCTCATTCATCATGCATTTATTTTACATTAATGGGTGCTCAGGTTGAAGAGTTGACTTCTCTCGTTAAAGATAATCTTCCTAGCAAGCATCTCATTTTGTCGGTGGAAGAGCTGTTGGTGAATTTTCTTGAAGAAGATGCAAGGTAAGTTAGGTGAAATTTCCTGCCCAATAGTGTTATCATCAATGTGAATATACCTACCATGGGATACAAGTACAAGTACCTTTCGGATTAGTAGGAATATCCATATTTAATCTTCACTGGTATCTGTAAATTCAGCTCAGTAATTGTTACTTATGCAGTGTAAATAGAGTGCTTGAGCTGGAACCAATGAATCCTTATAATCGTCTGCTTGTGCATCGTCTTGCTGACATCTTTGGGTAGTTTTGCTTCTCAAGTTCATATTTCTTGTTTAATTGTTTTGTACTACAGGTAATAAACTTTGGTACTTGTTATATAGAGTTTGACTCGTAAGTTATCTATTATAGATTCTCTCATCAGTCTGTCGGTGAAGGAGAATCCAGGCACTTAGTTCTGGAGCGTTGCCTAGAGGCGTCAATGTAGGTGAATGAAATCTCCATTCTTAAAGTGCATATACCTTCAGTTTTGTTAGGACCAATTTATTTATAATTTTTTAGTTTTGTAAAATTTCCTACATTTTGAATCTGTTTGGGTTTAAATCATGCTTAGACAACCAAACACCTAAAGCAAAAGATATTCCTAGAGGGTTTCTTGTTGAGGTATTAAAGAAAATGCTAGCTGTAGCCTTGTATGACTATTGAAGCTCCAAAAGAGTCAGTAAGTCATTGATCAGTTGTCACGGATAAGTCCGGAACTAGATAACAATTTCCAGGGTCAATGAAATCTCAATATATAACTGTTCATAGAAATCACTCCCAACAAAATGTGTAACTTTGTGAGATGATAAAGATGTGTAATGAATGTATTTGTGGTGATTTTGACCAGGTAGGGTCCCTATTGTAGGAGAGATTTAGTATCTAGGGTTAAGGCTGATATTCTGCTACTTGTGATATATATAATCTTATGTAATTTAACAAGTTGACTATTATGGTTTCAAGTCTGATACTGGAGCTAAGGTGGTTCATGATTTGATTACTTGTTTAAAGTTCTGTCAGAGAACTCATTGATGGAAACGGTGATTGTTGGTAAAGACAATGCATTCTGTAACCATTGAAACTGTTATATTGGACGAAATGCAGGCCACCCATCCTTGTGAGTGATTTGGTCTTGCAATTTGATGAAAGGCTGCCAAGTATGACTTTTGACAAATCGAGGTGGAATGAAGTTATGCCAGGTGAGCAAAACCATAAATTCTTTCTGCGTTAATAACCAGTGAGTAGATCTGTGTGCAAATGACGAGTACTAGGCTAGCTTTTGTGTATTGAAAACCTTTTATTATCAGTAATACATTGTGTTTAGAATTTGCTTTGGTTCGTTTGCGAATGAAGATTATAATACAAAAGATGGCAATTGTTAATTGTCAGACACTTCAAATATAATTTGGGCCATAACTTGTATT